TGCACTCAATTCCTTAGAAATTCATTGCAACACAGTGTCCTGGGGAGGTATAGGCAAGTTCTACTTCCTCCCAAACCCATATCCACCCACTCCCAGACCCACAGCTGCACTGTGACCCCCAGCAGAGGGAGCAAACTGCAAGTACCCTATAGAGCAAGCAGTAAGCAAGTCACCTCACAATGGAGACAAGAAGAGAATCAGAGATAGACAGAGATGGAAGCACAGACAGATGGGTGGATGAGTGGATGGATGGACAGGCAGATGGACAGATAGATGGACTGAAAGATGGTTGGTGAACAGATGGATGGATGGATGGGATAAATGAATGACAATGGATGGATGGATAGATGAATGGATAGATGGAAGGACAAGCAGAAGGCCAGACATACATTAAAACAGAGGGAAATAGAAATGTCTCTCAAAGGTCACAGAAAGTCAACACAATACCTCCACCTCTACTCAGGACACTTCTCTTTGTTCTTGTCTGTTCACTCTTGTCCCCCTCATTAGACTACGAGTTCCGTGGTGACCAGAGAGGTCTGGCTTCTCTCTGTAACTCTTGAAGCTAGCATAGGGCCTAGCATTCAGAAGGTACTCAAGGGACATGCTGAATGAATGAGTTTGTGGACAAATGAAGGAACAATTGGTAGAAACATCAGCAGACAGAGATGGAGCAAGTGAGTAAGAGGTGAAAAAAACAGAAACAGAGATAGCAAGACACAGAAAAGGATGTGGAAGGACAGAAAATGAATCAATTCAAAGACAGGGGTGTAGTACTGAAAAAAGAAATAAAAAGGCTAGGGGAGACCCAACTAAGAATTAACAATACGTAGGAAAGAATATGAAAGCAGAAAGAGAAGAGGCTTCTCTTGATATTGCCAGGCTGTTGCTGGTCAGAACCACTGGGTTTCCTTAGTTTCCCTGATAATTTGCCACAGTTCGTTGGTCTTTGTCTAAGGACTGGCACTCTACTTGGTCTTGCCAGTGCTTGTTTGGCTAGGAGACTGATACCTCCTTCTCCCCACTACATGCTCGCTGAAGTCCAACCCCTCAATCTTAAGAGAGTCTTCCAACCAGCAGGCCTCAGCCAACAGCTTCAGCAAAATCCCTCAAACAGGAAAGGCCCCTGGGATGAGATCCCTCTCCTGGTTCCAGTAACAATAGTCCTCTCCAGCCTCCACCAGCTCTGGGCACTGGGTTAGAGGAGGTGGGGGAGGGAACAGAGAAAGTATTTAGCAAGCCCCATAGCCACGCCTGCCTCTTGGGAGGGGGAGAGAGTCAGGGAGGGGGAAAACTGGCTGGGCTGGGGGCTCAAGGGGCTCAGGGGGCTCACTGGGCTTCCTGCCTCTGAGACTTGCCTCAATGCCAATGCAGGACTGTTATATCAATTCTGGTATTTCTAATTCCCAAGGAACCATGGGGGAGGGGGCCTGGAGAGCAGGGAGGGAAAACGGACTGTTAGTCAGAGCCACTGAGTTCCCCTGGGTCCTAGAGAAGAGTGGGTGGGTTCCTTCTCTCCCCAGGCCCCTCTGTCCCTCAAAAAGACTGACCACACCTCCCCCACTTCCAGACTTCTTGGGAATTACAGCCCTAAAGAGAGACACTTCCAAGCTAAAGGGCCTGCCCCCCTCTACCAGCCCCTTCATGGCAGCCTTGGCTCTGGGGACCTGAGTGCCCCTGTCTACCCCCTTCCCACTCTCGCACCAGATGTGGCTGTGGGGGAGGGGCCCGCACTGGGCCCAGCTGGCAGTGGTCACTCGGTGGTCCTCTCCCTGCGGAGTCAGCGAGTTCTGTGCCAGCTCGCCAGGCCTCCTCACTCAGCACTCCCTCCAGCCTGCTTTTCAGAGACTTTCCAGTGAGGTCTGGGCCAGGATTTCCATTCCATTCCCAGTTCAGCACAAATCCTATCAAAGGCCTTTCTTGAGTGGTCCACCCAGATGCACAGGTGGGGACACAGCAGCCAGGGATGGACAGGTAGATGGAGGAGGAGGAGACCCAACCTTACTCAGTATAGGAGACAGAGGGCAGGGACTCCCCCACTCAGTGAAACATTGTGATCCCAGTGGGCCATTCTGATCTGCAGTGGAATGAGGCATCCCATGCCTCCCACCCCGTCTCTGTTCCCCACACCCTCTGCTGGCCAGGATGTATTCTCCTGAGCCAGGAGTTCCAGGACCAGGGTGCTGGGCATGGCCACTACAGGGGAGCCCAGGTGACAGAACAACAGCCCAGAGTTGAGTACACAGCAGGTGCTTAATAAAGTCACTATCAGCAAGCTTTTTTAGTCCTATTTCACTGGCCCTCTGTGATCTCTTGAGATTGCCAAGGACTTCAACACACCTCAGTTGCATGGCTGGGTCTGAAAAAAAATGGATGTGGGTCTCTCTCCATAGGCACAGGTCCCAGAGAGAAGGTGCCACTGGCTTCCCTCACCTCCAGACCATGCGGGCCTGGCCCAGCCTGGTGAGTCCCTAGGCACCCTCTACAGCCTGCCTAGCTCTCTCTCAAGCCCTTCTCAGCAGGTGTCAAAAGAAAGATGCCAGGACATCTCCAGGCCTTGCCCCTGTGTGGAGGGGGGAAACCAGGCAGGCTGACAGGGCTCACAGAGATGTTGGCTTTGTTAGCCATGAGAGACCCAGACCGGAAGGAAAAAGTTTCAAGGGAGCGAGTGGGTAGGAGAGAAGAAGACAGGCTCTAGGAGGTGTCCTGTTCTGCACAGGTTCACTCTGGGCAAGGAAAGATGCGGAGGACATAGAACATAAAAATATGAAAGAGGGAAAGTGGGGGGTACCCTCAGGAGTTGAACTCTTCCCTCTCTCATGAGTCCAGAGGAAAGAAAGAAAATAATGGCCACATGCCTGAAACTGTGCTGGGTACCTTTCACAGCACTCTCATTTCATCCTTCCAAATGTATCACGAGAAAGGTGTTAGTACCCCAGAGATCTGAAATGCTGGGGCTTCACAGGTTTGTCCCCAGTGAGTGGATGGGCCAGGACCCCCAATCATGTCCTTCTAGGGTCCTAGGTTTTGGTCTCCATCTCAGCAGGGATGGCTGGCAGGGTCACAGCCCTGGTCTGGGGAGCCTGTCAGAGGCCCAAGCTATGTTCAGAGCAGAGTTTATTCAAACAGAGTCTAACAGGAAACTTGGCTCCTCTGACTCACTCTGATTCGACCTTATTAAGAAAAAAGAAAGAGGAGTAGGAGCCAGCAATGGGTAGGGTTTCAGGCCAAGAGCTGGCTCTAGGCAGAAGCCGGCTGTACAGGATGGCCTGTGCCCTGGTCTCCCCACAGCTCAAAAGCCCTGTGGCAGCCCCCACCCCCAACCCACCCCCCTGCCTTCGTAGGAGGGGTCCTGCATTCCCCACTCTAAGCCAATGGGGCTCCCCTATCTTAGAGCCATCCTCTATCCCCCCTCCCATTCCCTTCTCTTCCCTGCCCCTCCCTGCCTGGGGGTACCTCGAGGCCTGTTTCCACTTCTCTTCACTGCTGGCTCTGCTGCCCATCTGGCTGGCGGGAGGGCCCTACAGGACCCTGAGGATTCCAAGCAGCTGAGGCCAGCACTGCAGGGGGCAGGCAGGAGGGAGGGAGGCTTAACCCTCCAGATCCCGGGCTTCCATGAGCCCACCCTAGGCATCATCTGGCTTGATATCCTGAGCCAGATCAGTTAGTCCTTGAAGAGCCCTTTGAAACCGGAGTCTGACACAAAGCCCCTTGGGGGAGTTGAGGGGCCAGTGTTGAAAGGTTGCTAGCTGGATTATGAGCTCTTAAGGTGCAGACAATGCCCTAAGTCACCGGAACCAAGCTTCATCCTGAAGGACAGTACAATGGGTGAACAAATGCTGACTGGCAAAGGATAGGGGTGTGGGCAGAGGTCCCAAGTATCTGAGGAATGTCCACTCTGGCTATTTCCTTACAAGGTAGACTCCAAGAGTTTCTAAATGTAGAAGGGGAATCTAAGGAGCGAAGTGATGGGCAGGTTCTTACTACCAGGTTTATAAGCCCTAGAGGCAAATTTCCACCCTCTGGGTTTTAGGAGCTAGGCTGGAGAAGGCAGCCAGAGGAGCCAATCAGCCCCGACATCAAAGTTTTCAAACTTCTGGAACCCTTCTTATCTTTGCTGGCCCCAGGGAGAACAGAAAAGCTCCCAAAACACTCTTGGGGACCGTGTGGCCTAATGCTCCATTTATAAGGTGTGGCAACTGTATTAGAGAAGGGAAGGGACTTGTCCAAAGTAACCCAGCAACCTAATTACAGCAAAAGAACTGGACTCAGTTCTCCTGAACCTCTCTTTCCGCTATTCTGTGCTTAGAGAACACAATGAGTTCTATCTTTTATCAAAGTCAGTCCCTGGTCTTCAGTTTTTCCACGCACACACTCAGGCTTTGTTAAGTCAAGAGATGCAGACAGAAAGCACATACCATGTGTGAGAAGTTGATCTCTCCCATGAATTTCCAAGTTCAATCTGGCACAGGGACACACATCCCGATCTACAGACTGGGAGAATCAGGCCCAGAGGTGGGCCAAGAGGGAAAAGGTGAAGCTCTGACCCCACTGTGTTCAGGCCCAAGAGGTACACCTGGGGTACAGAATTAGAAGGTGGTCCTTGTTCAGCATCTCCCCCAGGAGGCTCACCAAGGAGGTGTCTCTCAGAACCGGCTTTGGAGAGAGGCTGGAGTAATGAAGAAGAGTCAGGAGCCAAAGGCCAAGCCAGTAACCTGAGACTGGAGTGCTGGGTCAAAAGCAAAGAAGAAAGGCCACAGTGGTGCAGACACCCCAGTCTAATTCTGCCTGCGGGGGGGGGGGGGGGGGGGGGGGGGGGCCCTGACCCAGCCTGAGTCCCCAAGGCGTCCCCCTTCCTACTCCCAGCTTCATTCCCTTCCTCAAGGGCAGGTCCTGGGCTTGGCAGGGAGCTTCAGGGACAGAGGGAACACAGCAGCTGTGGGGCAAGCCACATAGCTAAAACCCGGCGGGCCATAGGGCCCCGCGGAGGAGGCCCCAGCAGACAGACCAGGCTGCCCAAACCTCCCAAGCTCCCAGCCTGTTGCTTGCTTATTCATTAAGAGTGGGAAAACGCCAGTCCAGCGGCCAGCCAGTGCCGGGCTGGCCATGTAAGCCGTCTTGCCTGCCCGGTGCCCTGCCGAGAGCCTCGTGCAGCCCCGGGCACCGCCCCTGCCCTGCCCTGACCCCTTGGCCTCGAAATGCTGTCATCGGAGGAGCCGTCCCACTCGGGACAAGGCCAGGATGGACAAAGATAGAGCTGGGGCAGACACGGAGCCGTCCTGTCCTCGAGGCCGTGGGAAGAGAAGCACGCGCAGGGGGCCACCCCCGAGAGCCTCTCGGTCCACCAGGCTGCCGCAGAGGGGCCACCATGGCTCTGGCCCGAGCCGGTTGGCAGCTGGGGGCCCTGATGTGGGGCGCTTGCCTCTGCGCCCTGGTGCACGGGCAGCAGGCGCAGCCGGAACTGGGCTCGGACCCCGGGCGCTGGCGGCAGCTGATCCAGTGGGAGAACAACGGGCAGGTGTACAGTCTGCTCAACTCGGGCTCCGAGTACGTGCCGGCCGGGCCCCTGCCGGCCCAGAGTAGTTCGCGAGTGCTGCTGGCAGGCGCCCCCCAGCCCGCCCAGCGGCGCAGCCACGGCGGCCCCCGGCGTCGGCAGGCCCCGTCCCTGCCCCAGCCCGGGCGCGTGGGCTCAGACACCGTGCGCGGCCAAGCGCGGCACCCGTTCGGGTTCGGCCAGGTGCCCGACAACTGGCGGGAGGTGGCCGTCGGGGACAGCTCGGGCCTGGCCCGGGCCCGCACCTCGGTCTCCAACAGGCCAGGGGGGGGCACCTCGGTCTCAGCCTCGGCCTTTGCCAGCACCTACCGCCAGTCGCCCCCTTTCCAGCCACAGTACCCCTACCCGCAGGCGCCCTTCGTCAGCCAGTACGAGAACTACGACCCCGCCTCGCGGACCTACGACCAGGGCTACGTGTACTACCGCGGCGCGGGCGGCGGCCTGGGCGCCGGGGCGGCGGCCGTGGCCTCGGCGGGGGTCGTCTACCCCTTCCAGCCCCGCGCGCGCTACGAGGAGTACGGCGGCGGCGGCGAGGAGCAGCCCGAGTACCCGTCGCCCGGCTTCTACCCGGCCCCGGAGCGGCCCTACGCGCCCCCGCCGCCCGCCGACGGCCTGGACCGCCGCTATTCGCACAGCCTGTACCACGAGGGCCCCGCGGGCCTGGAGCCGGCCCTCCCGGATTCCAGCCCCGACGCGGCGCCGGCCGCCGGCGGCTCCTACAGCGACCCCCGCCTGGGCTGGTACCCGCCCTACGCCAACGTGCCGCCCGAGGCCTACGGCCGGCCCCGGGCCGCCGAGCCGCAGCCCCCCTTCCGGGGCCCGGAGCCGCAGCCGCAGCCCCCCTTCCGTGGGCCGGAGCCGCAGCCCCCCTTCCGTGGGCCGGAGCCGCCCTACCTGCCAGTCCGCAGCTCCGACGCGCCCCCGCCGGTTGGGGAGCGGCAGGGCGCGCAGCAGGGGCGTCTCAGCGTGGGCAGCGTGTATCGACCCCAACAGAACGCTCGCGGTGAGTACCGGCACCCCGGGCACTGGTAGACGCTCCCAGGCGCCCAGACCCTTCTTCCTCTGACCTTCACCAAGGGCCTCCCTGAGCAGCCAAGGAAGGACCCCCCAGCACCGTCCACAGCCCGCGGTGCGCCCCACCTCCGTGCCTTTCCCACGGACGTGCCAGGGTTTGGCCAGGTGGGCTTGGGCTCTGACCTTGCTTGGGGGTAGGGGCTAGAGGCTAGAGAGGCTGGCCTGGCCTTGGTATGCGGCCCCTTGCACACCTGGCGTGAGTCATCCCGGACCAAGGGTTAGTGTCCTTCTCCCTGCCTCTCCCTTTTGCCATTCAGGGCATGAATCCTCCCTTGGAGATGCCCCTGTGCCAGCCTTCCTGGTTGAGCCAGGAGCATAGGGGGTCAGGAAGGCCTGAGGAGATGCCTCTGGAGGTGTGGAAGTTCCCCATACCTGGCCTATGTAAGCTGGACCGCAGTGAGCAGGTTAGAGGGGAGGTCTTAGCTCAGGCAGAAGATCAGACTAGATGAGCAAGAGTCACCTCAGGTGGACACTGCAAGGCCCAACCTAGAGCATCCAGTGAGGCACTATCTGGGTCACAAAATTTAAGGGTGTGCCAAAAAACTCAGTGGTAGAGATAACCGACATTTTGATGCACCTTTTTAGAGTAAAATCATGTAAGAAAAAAAATCTACCGTAAACAAAATACCCAGATTTTAAATAGAACCAGTAAAGGTACCTCACCAAGCCATACTGGAGCCTGGGTAAGCTGAAAAATCAGTCATAATGATCCTGTCTTCATTTGAAATTTTGTATTTTTTAATCAGAATTTTTGCATTCATTTTGATTTTTAAAAATGTAACTTCAGATATAACTTATTTTGGTTACTGGGGGCTTGGTGCCCTCTTAAAATTTTGCTCCCCAGACTCCTCATTCACTTCACTTAGCTCACCCTAGTCCCGGCCTTCGGGGAGCATCCCAGGAGGCAGTGTGGACAGCCCTCCCTCTGACTTCGAGGGTAATGATGTGACCTAGTCTTGGGACGATCCAAGCCATCTGCACTAGAGGAAGGGGGCAACCTTCCTTCTTCAGACGGACGCCTCTACATGTGCTATTAGCAGGCTGGCAATTGTGGCGAAGGTCCACAAGTGGCTTGGCCAGGATGGAGTGGCTATTGGTTCATGCTCTGCTGTCCCCAAATCCCCTTCCTTGCTTCTGTCTCTGCAAGTCCAAAGTCAGCTTTGATTAGGGTTTTCCATTCAGTCCCCAGTGTGTTTGTTCCATCCCTGCCCTGCCCCTTTCCGGCTGTAGTTGGTGACCTGATTCTCCACTGCACACCATGCTGTGACAGGTACATGAGGTGAGGGCTGAGCCCTGGAGCCCAGAGCCACATGTATCACACCAGTACCCATTGCTACTCTGCCTGTCAGCATGGGGACTGCTACCTTGTCCCCAAGCAGACTGACTTCTGGTGAGAGGCAGCTGCTGTCCCTGAGAGGGGTTGTACGGTGGAATCCTGGCTTCTAGGAGCTGCAGACCCCCAAAATTGAGGGAGAGGAGTGTCCCCACTAGAAGTACCCCCTCCCTCACATCCAAGGTGAAGGATTCAAATAGGTGTTAATCCCACTCTGAGAATCTGCAGGAGTTAAGGGCAGGAGCTAGATGAAGACCCTTCGTGATGTGAGGAAGGATGCATCCTCTTGCCCACGGTGGCTGCACACCCATCGGGTCCTCCTGGGATAGGCAGCGTCCCTGAAGCAGGGTGTATGACAGCTGAGCACCACGGCTCCTAGGGTTGCTGGAGGAGAGGACATTCTTCCTATAGGGCACTACCTTGGGTGGTGACTTTTTTTTAGAATGCAAGACTGCAGGGCGGGGCTTGGCTAGAAGCACACACCTGTGGGCAGAGGAGAAAATTGAGACCTTATCTAGTGCGATGCTGCCAGAGGCCGGCATGGGTCTCAGTGTCTCTGCTCTGTCTCTGCTCCCAGCCAATGGCTTTTCTCTGGTCCCTCTTTGGCCTGTCAGTGTTTTGGGTTTGGGGAGGCATGAGTCCTGAGCAAGACCCTGTCTGGAACAGGGATGCTTGATGTTTAGCAGGGCCTCTGCCACTCTCTCTGAGCTCCACAGTTCATCTGAGGTTGAAGATGTTCTCCCTGATGGTAGTGTTTTGGGTGCCAAGCTGTGTGTGATGGTATGCATCAAATCTAGGCCCTGTCCTGGTGGGGAATATAAGGCAGGGGTATGCATAGCAAAGGGGGCACCTCTGTGCTGTTATTGGGCAGAAGCTCCCGTCTAGACTTAGGGGCTCAGGGAGGACTTCCCAGAGGAGAAGTGCCAAGCATTACTCAATGGATGGCTGTCAGCACCTTCCAGTGCCCCGTCCCCCAGTCAGGGAGGGGATGGTATGTGGGTTGGGAATGTCTGTGTGTGTGTGTCGGAGGGGAAGCCAGTTTGGGGCTCACAGGGATCAGTACTTCTCCTCTATCATTGGTTCCCCACCCCTCCCTGCTAGGCCAGCACCATGGAAAATCCTGGTTCAGGGAAGGCCAACCCTGTATGTGAGCTCAGACCCCCAGGCCTAGTGTGGGAGTCCAGGGCAGATTCCCCGTGACTGACCTCATTCCTGCTGGCCACACACCCTGGGGTCTGCGGCCCGGCGCTGGCAGCCTGTGTGTGTGTGGGCGTGGACGTGTCCTCACAACACCAAACACATGTGTGCGCCGCCCACGTCCCTCCATGTTTGGGAGGCTTCCAAGAGCCTGTCCAGAGCCTGCTTTCTTCCTCTGGCGCCTGCACCCTCTTCCCTCCCACCCCCAGCTGGGGACTATGGGCTATGGGAGGCCTCCCATTATCTCCTACTCTGAACCATTTAACTGGAGAGACAGATGCTCAGAGAGCATCACATTCTTAGCCTGGCTCTCACAGTAAATTCATACAGAGACCTGGAGGGGGAAGCCTGCTTCCCAGGGCCAAGGCATGGGGTCCCTTGCACCGTGCACTCCCTCTACCAGGCCCTCCATTCCCATCTCTTTGCCAACACTCCTGCCTCCAAATAGCCTCAAAAGCTCTGAACTGGTGGCCTTGGTGTCGATTAAGATGATTCCCAGCCCCCAAAGACCACTACTCTTCTCTCAGGACATCCCCCACTTACACCCCAAAATTAACCCACCAGCCTTGGTAACCCTTAAGATGAGCTTGGAGCAGGCGCCCTGGGAGGACAACCAGGACATCTTTGATGGCAGCACCAGCTTTGCCTTGCACAGGTCCTCCATCCCTGTTCTCATATGGCCAGGGGGAGGCCAAGAAGTTGCTGTGGCTGCCGCCTCCATGTTCCTTTCCTCCCACCCTTTCCCTGGCCAGTTCATCTTACATATGGGCCAGATGAGCCCTGGCAGTCCTGACCTTGTTACTCTCCTGCTCAAGAAAGTTCCATGGCTCCCTAAGGCCTTCAGGATTAAATCTAAATGCTTTAGAACCTAAGGCACCTCCTTCCCCTCCTCTCCTCCTCCTTCACCTCTCAGGCCTACACAGCCGACACATCTTACCTCCTGCACATACCCGGGGGTCTTGCTAGGGTACCCCTCTTCATCTAGCTTCCTGTGTCCAACAGGCCAGCAGGGCCCCTAAGTCCCTAAGCACAGCCCTGGTTCCCTGCCTCCACCCCACTGCCCAGGCTGGTCCCTTCCAGGTTACCTGCCCATCTCCAATGGACTTGAAGTAGATGCTGGAAGGACAGAGCAGACTTCCACCCAACTACTCTTAAGTTTCTAGCAGAATCATAAGCACCTGGATCTTTGCTGAAGTGCACCTTCCAAGCATAAATATGGTTTCAGTTCTCCTCATCTAGAGAGGTGGAGTGCCTGGTCTCCTGGCACAGACAGAAGACTGAGGCCTGGGGGAACTCTCACAGCTGGATGTGACGGAGCCGGAACTTAGCCTGCACCAGTCACTGCTGCCTAGCTCTGAGGTGACCTGGGAGCTCCCATGCTCCACCTCTGAGCTAGGCAGAGCAGGCTAGTCTGAGCCTCCCCAAGAGCCTTCCTTTTCTAGACCTCAGTTTTCCCAGCTGCCCCCAGGGGGAGAATTACACCGGCATTTACTCATCACTCCTCTAGGTCCCGTATGCTGCTGTTCATTGCATTTCATAGAGTAGGTGACAGGCTCACTTGCTGCTTGTCACTCAGCTTTCCAGTGGTGTAACTAGAATTTGAGTCTGCATGACTCCATCCTGAGTCTTGGCCACCACACTTAAAAAAAGTGTTTTTGATGTATTATTGCTTATCTTACATACCTCATTTATTCACTCATTCCACAGACAGGTGAGTGTCTACTATGTTCTGGTTATGATGGAGGAAGATGGGACTGTGGGTGTGCAAGGCTTTGGACGCACAGGGCACCTCCTGATGTGCTGGTCTGAGGAGTTGGTGTGGAGTCTTGTCACTCTCACTCCAGGCTGCAGAACAGACACTTCTATAGTATTTACACTGCCTGGTGCTGTGCCTGGAGTTTTACAATTAGAGTCTCTTAACCTGCATAACAACCTTAGATATTATGAGTAGTCCCATTTTGCACAGGAGGAAACTGAGGCCCTCAAAAGTTACATGACTTGTCAATGGTCACCTTGCTGTTGACTGGTAGATCCAGAATCACAGTCTTCCATCCCTGAAGTTGCCTCACATTGTTCCTTTAGGAAGAAATGGATTCTTCAGGCCAAAGAATCTGCCCTAAAGAGTCCTGCATGGAGACAGGGGAACCTGGGGCCTCTGCCCACCTCCCTGGTTGGAAGTCAAAGGTCTCTTGTGTCAGAACAGACAAATAGTGCCGCCGGTGGCCTCATCTCAGGCAGACTTCCTGTCTCCTCTCTTATCATCAGGTTATAGGCCACATCCTTCCCCTCCCTCCCCCGACTCAAATTGGACCACCTCTGCAAAAAGAGAGCTCCAGTTTTTTTTTTTTTTAAATGGTCACAGTATTCTTTTTTTTTTTTAAAAAAAAGATTTATTTATC